ATTAAATGTAAGTTAAGTTTTAATTGAATTATTTCTTAGGTGGCATGATGAGCGATAATAGTTCTTGTTCATTGTCTGAAGTCTATTTATATGATACCATCAATGATCAATGGGATACCAAGGTATAAGAATGTTAGCATCATCATCAAAGATTAATCCATGACTAATATTTTTGTTAATTATTTAAAGCTAACTTCGGGGACATTACCTTCTGACAGACATGGCTTTTCTGCGATCCTTGGTAAGTTGAATCGCTGCTTGTTGAAAACGTGAAAAGTTTTGTTTAAAAATATTATTGTTTAGGATTGGATGGTCAACAATTGATAATTTTCGGAGGAAGAAATCAAACTAATGAACAATTTAATCGAATTGATTCCCTTTATACTTTAAACCTAAGCAATTTTATGTGGAATATTCCAAAAGTTTCTGGAGATATTCCAAGTTCTCGTTCATATCATAGGGCAAATGTGATTGACAAGTATATGGTTATTTCATTCGGTAATTATTTTTTTAAAAAAAAAAAAAAAAAAAAAATTATTAATATTAATTATTCTTATTATAAAACTTGATAGGAAGTGGTAAAATTACCAGTGATTTATTTTTGCTCGATATTAGCAATAATAAAGAATATAAATGGATTGAACCTAATAAAGATCATAAAACTAACTCGGTGATGATTGGTATGGTAATTGGAATAATAATGTGTATCACTTTATTATCCATAGGGTTTTTCATGTATAAAAAATTGAAAATAGAATAATCCTGCCGAAAATATATTTGGAAATGTTAAAATGAATGTGAAGCCAGGTCAAAAAATTACTGCTCTAATATTTGAATGTTTGAAACCGACAAAATTATGAAAATCCGATTTTATCCGATAAAATGAAACAAATCTTTTTATAATGTTTTTGTGTATTTCAAGAAAATAAGAAGTTCATTTTACTTATTCATCAAAAAAATACTTTGTGATTGCTTCAATCTTATTAAACGGTAATTAAATACTTTTTGTTGTTTTTCCTGATAAAAATTAAGACTATTGGACCAATCGAGTCACATAATCTTTTTAATCAGCGAGATGATAATATGTCAATTCTTTATCATATCATAAATTCTTTCATGGTAATAATACCAACTCACTGCTCTTGTAATACGTTTAAACCTTTTCATAGCTGTGGTTTAATAG